AGGGATGGGGGGGGGGGGCTGTTCCTTGTTCCCGGTCTCCCCTTGGGAACAAACCCTGCTGCGAACTTTCCACAAGCTCAGTCCCAGAGCTCCCCGTGCAGGGCGATGTGTTGTCGAGCTCAGAGACGAGAGCGGGGGGCTGGCCGGGAAGCCTCTCCTGCAGCGTGTGCTCGGTCTCTAGTGCCCGTTTCTCTTCCAGGCGGGGTCCCGGCGCTCAGCGGAAGTCCTGCCCCTCTGGACAGCAAACTAGGTTATTTGCCTGCAGGGTAAGACTCCGGGCCCTTGGGTGTGAATGTGTCCAGGCGCGGCTGTTACTGCTTCCGCGGGGCTGGTAGCTCAGGTCCGAGTTTGCCCCGATCTGCTTGTTACATGGGCTGGGGCGGGTCAGAGCTGCAGGTGTTAGCCAGGGCCCCATAGAACTACTCAGCTGCAGCTTTCCCACGAGTGCTCCCTGGAAGGCTCAGCCCACAGCACTCGGCTTCCAGGGTCGGAACATGAAGGGTTCCAGTCCCACGCCACGTGGGAGCTCACAGCCCGGATCAGTGTGGTGCCGGCTGGTTGGGGGGAGGAGGGCTGCATTCTGGACCCCCGTGGTTTCGTGGCTGAGCGGTGGAGACCCTGGCGGGCAGATAGAACTAAAAGATCCTTTGGAACCTTTCGGAAAGGGCAGGGGATGAACCCGCGTTCCCAGGCCTCAGTCTCTTCTCGCGAGTGCTGAGTGCGCCGTGCCCACAGGAGTGCCGTGGCGATAGGCGTGGCCTCCAGCGCACGCCCTGCACAAGGAGCAGCCACTCCGCCGACTCCCCCGCCTCTTGTAACGACCCCCCTTGCCCAGCACCGTTCCCCAGAAGGCCTGTCTGTGGCTAGTCCAGCTGGGCTGCAGCTGCCTGGCTCCGCTCGATTGCGAGCGACGCTCGTGTGATCACCGCGGTTCTCGTTGCTTTGTAAAATGCCGTGCGATTCTTGGGTGCAGCCCCCGAGTCTCGTCCGTTGGAAGGGCTTGGCATTGTACAGGCCAAGGACCGTCCCGACGGCGCAGCTCCCTGCTGGCTGGCTACCCCCGGCCCGGGCTTGGTGTTTCCCCGTTGCTGAACAGCTGCTCCGCCGACCCCCACCGGCAGTGCTAAGAATCTGTCCTGTGTCCGTGGAACTTGGGCCTGACTAAGCAGCACCTGCAGCGAGTGCAGAGAGCAGCTTAATTGCCTGGGCGTCCCTTCCCTCTCCTCTCCTCTCCTCTCCAAACCCCTTACATCTGTGTCCTCTAGAGTCTCTCTCTGCTGGGCTTTTGCTACCCAACAGCAAGGGACCGGGGCAAGGGTGGTGCTGCCTCCCCCTTCTCCCTGAAGAAGAGTGAGTTGGTGCCACTGGACCGTGGGTAACGGGAAATGGAGACTCCCAGGGCGGTAGCGGGGGATGAACGGGTGCGAGAGAGACCAGGAGGGTGGCAGCTGAGTTGCCTGCCGGCTGACAGGTCTTCCCGGCCTGGGAGGGGTGAGGAGGAGCGGAGACTGCGCCAGGAAGAGGTGGCTGGTTCCACGGTTCGGTCTCGTTTCTTGCCACACCTTTCTCTCTCTCTCTCGCCATGCCAGGGAGCAACTCCGCCTGTTCCAGCACTCCCAGCCCCGCGGCCCGGAGGCGGACAGGACAAATGTCCAGGGAATGATTGATGCCAACAAGAGGTGGCTGGCGAATTTCCGGAAGGATTCCAAAGTGTATCCTTTGCCTTGGTCTTCGTGTGCTCTGCTGGCTGCTGTTGTGGAAGCGGAAGCCAGGCGCTCAGGGACGGTGACACCTCAGAGCCTCCTGCTTGTGGTCCCTGCAAGGGGCGACGTGCCTAGTGGTTAGAGCAGAAGGGGACTGCTGGATTCTGTTGCCCAGCTGTCTTCACTCCCTGTGACCTGAGAGAAATCCCTTCTCTTTGTGCCTTGGTGGCCCAAGGCGCTGCCCCTCCTAGTCCAGGTACTGCACTGCTCTGGCTGGCCACAGGAGCAATGACGGGAGGAAGCTGGGAAGTGAAGGGTTAAGTGCAAGAAGGGCCAGACTGGGTCAGACCAAGGACCCATCCAGCCCAGGTTCCTCTCTTCCGACAGTGGCCAGCGCCAGGTGCCCCAGAGGGAGTGAACAGAACAGGGAATCCTCACATGCTCCCTCTCCGGTCATCCATTTCCAGCCTCTGACAGAGGCTTGGGACACCATCCCTGCCCATCCCGGCTAGTAGCCATCGGTGGACCTATCCTAGAAGGATTTATCTAGCTCCTTTTTGAACCCCGTTGAGGTCCTGGCCTTCTCAGTATCCTCTGGCAAGGAGTTCCACAGGTTTGCTGTGCGTTGTGTGAAGAAATCCTTCCTTTTGTTTGAATCTCGTCAGGTCACGCTAGTCCCTGTATGCAGTGTAATGTAGCCCTGTAGCTCCCATGTTAGAGGACAAGGTGGCGAGGTAATACCTTTTATTGGACCAGCCTCTGTTGGTGAGAGAAATGTGTGTTACCTCTTACACCAAACAATCTGGTCCATCATGTGTGAGTCCGCGACACTCACCCTACAGGAGAGCTCTGTGTAGCCTGACTGTGTCTCTTCCCAGCAGAAGTTGATCCACTAAAAGCTGGTTCCTGCAAGACATTTAGCAGCACCGATGTTTGTGCTGTGGGCAGTTTCTGAGGAGCCGTTTGGCTGCTGTGCGATGCAGGGCAATTGTGTCAAATGGAGCAGAGGCAGGAGAGGGAAATCTCCCAGTGCTGTTAAAGGGGGTAATAGGTCCTTCGTGCCCTCCAGCAGCATTACGCTGTAGCTGTACCTCTCTCTGCAGCTCACGGTGCTATGGGCAGCAAATCCCCTGCCCCGGGACAGAGCCGTTTGTCCTGAGCTTGGTGCTGCTTTGCGTTCCATAATCCCACTGTAAGTCTAGCTGATCCGTGTGCAGAGCTCTGCGTGTGCCATGTGAGTGTGAGGTGTGTCCTGCCCGTGGTCACTCGTCCACCTCCCGGGTCCCTCAGGCCGGTCTCACACCCGAGTCCTGCTTTTCCTTCACGCGGCTGCCAGGCCTCTCTTCGCGAGCACACAGAAGCCCTCTGCCAGCAGCCCTGGCCTGGTGCAGCTTGGCCTGGATGAAAACAACCAAATTAAAGTGTATCACTACTGAGCGGCCACGGAGCCAGCCTGGCGAGCTGCACTCTGTCCCCTCTAGCAATACATGGCCTTGCCGTGCTACCCAGCGCTCTCGTCTCTCTTTCTGCTCGGCCCTTGAAATACAGCTTCTTTCCAGGAGGGAGGAGCAAGTGAACTTCCCAAGCGGATTCTTCCGGTCCTGGAACGTGTCCAGATGCACTTCATGGACGGCTTAATCCAGTGCTGCAATCTCAGGGCTTCCACACACCAGCAGTCCCCTCCATGGCCTCCCAGCGGCCCCCTGGCGGCACGGGGGCTCGCCCAGGACTCAGAAGAACGTGGCGGGGGAGGTGATTTCTGACCGAAAACGTGCCAGAGGAGATGAACGCGCCGTGGAGCCCCAACAAACAGTGGCACGTTTGAGCGTGGGAGAGTGTCTGTAGCTTCTTCCACGGAAGAGCACCACGCTGGCGCCACGCCCCGACTGAACAGAGCCGGCTTTCTGTTCCAGTCAGGGTTGCCTGCAGTACCCGGCGCTGGGTTTGTTTCTACTTGAAAATGTTTTGTATTCGGTGTGTCCGAGTGCGGGGACTCGGACAGACCCTTCAGGGCACCGCGGGGGCCAAGCCTCCGGAAGGGTTTTAACGCACCCGCTTTGTTTTTGACAGGACAGAAGCCATAGGGCCACTGTGCCTGGTGGGGATGGCTGCTCCCTGCCCTGCCCCCCCAAGCGCTGTGGCTGTATTCTCTCTGGTGTGGACGTGCTGAGCGCTGGGCTGGTGGGCAGAGGCTGTGGTGTGAGAGCCAACGGCCGGTGTTCGCTAGCGTCCCCCTTGTTCCTGATGGTGGAGCTGCCTGGTGCGAGACCAGAACGTGTGGCCTTGACTGACCATCAGAAATAGGTGGAGGCCCCCAAGCCGAGTGCCCAGGCCAAGTGCCCCCCCCCCCCATCCCCTCCGGCCCAGCTCCAGACTTGGGCTGGCTTGGAGCCATTTCTGATCGGGGTGGAGCTGGGCGCTACATGAGGCATCTGCCTGGGCTCTGCAGGACTCGTGGGCGGGGCAGCGGCAGAGGCCGGGGGTGGCTGACACGTTGGATAGGGTCACTGCTCCGCCCCGTCGCTGTTCTCACGGCAGCTGCCTGCGCGGCCGCACCCCGTCCTGGCAGCCCCTCTGTGCTGGGCCCCTCCAGCCGGGTTCTGTAGCGTCTGGGCCAGCGTTGCCCCAGAGGGGCGGGACGGGCCCCATGTGTCCTGCGCTCCCTGCCCGTGCGGTGGAGGCAGCCCAGATGGCCCAGCTCAGAAGCGCTGAGCAGATGAGCAGTGGGATTGGATGGCGGGGAAGGTGTCTTGCGGAGTCAGCCTGTCAAGTGTCCCGTCGGCCCCCCAACCGGGGGCCAGGCCAAAGGTCCCTTGTAAGAACCTTTCCCCAGTGTCGGACCAGTCCTGGGGGCGGCTGTGGCAGGGGCGTGCGGTGGAGGCAGCCCAGATGGCCCAGCTCAGAAGCGCTGAGCAGATGAGCAGTGGGATTGGATGGCGGGGAAGGTGTCTTGCGGAGTCAGCCTGTCAAGTGTCCCGTCGGCCCCCCAACCGGGGGCCAGGCCAAAGGTCCCTTGTAAGAACCTTTCCCCAGTGTCGGACCAGTCCTGGGGGCGGCTGTGGCATGTGAAACACCCGTCTGGCGCAGCCTTGGAAACTGCCCTGGGGGGGAGGGGGCCGATGTGCGGCGCTGGCCGCCCTGCTAGCTGGCTTGGGATATTGACGCTCTGTAAACAGCAGGTTGCTCTTGGGCCGTTGTCGGCCGGCACGCCTGTTTTGGAGGGAGGCTGCCGGAGGAGAGCTGCCCCTTTGAAGCGCTGCTGGGAGGGCTGGGAAGCGGCAGCCTTCCACCCTCCGTACGGGCTGCACTGCTCCGCCGGGGCGTGCGGAAGGGCTGCTGCAGAGCATGGGCCCTGCGGGGCTGTGTTGCCTGCTGCCACGTGCACTAGCCCAGGGCTGCAGCCGCTGCAGGGGCTTGTTTACAAGCAAACGGAAACATTTTGACACAATTTTTAAAAATGAGAAACTGTTTTTTACATTTCACAACTTTGTACCAGCACTGGGCTTGCCGGGCGTAGTGTCCCTTTAAACAAGGGCCTGGCCTGGGGCTGCACAGATTCAGGGAGGCGGGGTTCTGCTCGCGGACTCTGGCAGTAGCATCTCGTGCTGCTGGCCTTGAGAGAAACCCAGGGCAGGTCCAGCGTTGAGCGGCTGCGAGGCCGAGAGTGACCCCTGGGAAGAGGCAGGATCTTTGCAGCTGGCCTCCCGGCTCTGCCGGATTACACAGATCCTTGCCGCTGGGCCTTTTCCTGCTGTCGACAACCACCTGCCAGCCTCAGCTGTTTTTTTAATAGTCCCTCTTGGCTGCCCCCAGCACAAAACCCGTCCGCTGTCACTGGGCACTGGACCCACAGCATTCCCAGCAGGAGATATGCCCCACCCCCTGGGAACCACCCGTCCACACTAGAGAGCGTCTGCTCTCAGTGCGGGTAACGGACCATTTTAGTGCTGAAATCCTGTCGCGGTGATGCAGCTCTCGCCCTCGGGATGCTTTGTGCTCAATCCTGTTTTGTAACAAATTAAAGGACGCGGGTCTATTTTGTACCATGGGGACGGCTGCAGCTTTGTTTTCTCAGCAGAGAGGTTTGTCTCCCTCGGCCCCAGCCCTGCACTTTGCTCCCAGACACTTCCCCGGCTCCTGGCCAAGTTGTGTTGCTGTGACCCTGGCTGGGTGCCTCTGCCAACTTCAAAGCAAAGACCTGCCGCTCGCTGTGGCTTTAGCTCCGCAAATGAGCCTGTTCGGTATCTGCCCGGGTGCTCAGTGGGCTACTAGCAAGCTAGGGAACAAACTCCTCATGCTCAGCCTGGAGCCAGGGTTCCTCAGGGCTTCTCCCCCTCCTGCCATGCAGCTCCGTTCAGTCCAGCCAAGGTCCGAGGGCAGGTTTGGTGCTGGACTCCACCAGGGCGCTATCAGGGCTCGCTCCAGAGCTGTGCTGTGCGGTACGTGGGGGGCAGCTGGCTGGTGCATGGGGGGTGTTAAAGTTGGTTAATCACGGCTTGGCTGTCACGATTGACATTTGCATTTATTTTATAAGAGCACCGATGGCTACTGATGGGATCACTGGGAACCTGGGCAGATTGGTGCCCCCTTCGGCTCACCGGCTCGTCCCGCCCCCCATTTCCTACCACCGCCTATTCTTCCCTGGCCAGCCAGGGCTGTGCTCCCACTCTCCCGAGCCGGTTCTGCACTCGGCTTGGCTTTCCCTGCTGGAGCACCGGAGCCGCATCCCCCGCAAAGCCCCAGGCCGGCGTCGGAATCGCCCCTTGTGGTGGGCCAGGCTGAGGCTGCGTGGTGCTGCCGTTCCACTGGCCATGGCTGTGCAGCGACTGACAGGACTGCGCTGTGGCTCCTTCGCTCGCATTCGCGCACTCGCCACTGGGCCCAGGAGCAGTTTCTTGCCTGCTCGGCTCACCCCGGGACCTCCGCCGCTGCTGCAGAGACCAGTGGGCTGGGGCCACCGTGGACTTGCTTCCGCTGCCTCCTTCCTCCCCTCGGTCAAAGCGCAGCACCCCTGGCATGGCCAGCCTGACTCTAGGCCGCTCCCCGGGGCCAGGGAAAGGCCCTGCCAGCAGCGCCAGGGATGAG